AGAGAGGGTAGGTCAAAATGACGCAGCATGCCATATTACTGGAAATGGAAGACCCACCTCCCGACTTCGGTTAGTTCTGTAGTGTCTACATTATTACAGTTTGTAACGTTTACATTCTGTTCTATAGCCATAATTCCCACAATTTTGTTAGCCTTAGGTCTATATTGAAAGGATTCAGTGCTCATTGACAGTCTTTTTGCCACCGTTCCATTCCTTTTCTGGCTGGCTGAAGTCCATTCCGTTGTAATTTCTTCCAGAAGAGCTCTTGAAAAGTATATTCCCTGAATGTTTGCATGTTCAAAGACATTTGGCTGTTGCTTTAATTTTTCAGTGACAGTTTGGGTATAAAATTGATGGATCACACTTTCTTTCCCCGAAACTCTTGTACACGTGCTTCCTCTCTCTGATCTGGAGAAATCAGAAGCCGGCTTCTTTCTTTTTTCCTTGTAAGTGACACGATTCCATATCCTTGAAGTCCAGTGGTTTTCATAGGTTATTCCTTCCTTAACACTGATGAGTCTGATCCATCTCCCCCAGGCAAACAGTGTGCCCTTTCTATCCATAGATTTGACTCTATTTCAGAAAAGTTGTTACAACGTAAATCTCGGTATCTTTTCTGTCTTTACTGTTTGCTCAGTGACACCATTTATGGATGTGTTGTATCATTTTTGTCTGTGGTCGTTTCTGTCTGTGGTCTGTTCTCTCATTTACTGTCTAACCCCCTTGAGCTTTTGCTCATTTCTGTCAAGTAGGAACCCCACAGCCCTGTGTTCAGTACTGTCTTGGTCCTTGGTTTTCATCATTCTTTTATTTTTTTCTTCCCCTTTTCTCTTGAGTTTTGCCAGCTCCCTTTTCATTTCCTTATGTATACATTTTGCAGGGTAGGTTCTTCGTTTGCCTTTTGTTTATCAGGGTCCCTTCCTTCCTCTTTCTTTTAATTTTGTTTAGTGTGTCTAACTCCTCTTTAAAGAGGGGGGAGTTCTTCCTGGAAAACCAGTAGGAGGACAATCGGGGGAAAGGCCAGGCCAGTGCTCAGAGCCAGCTCCACGCAGTCCACTCGCCTCTCGGGGGACCCTGGGACGGAGGGCTCTGAGGGATATCGGTGGATTGGCCTTCCCTGCTTTCGGCACAGACCCTGCTCCAGGCTTGCGCAGAGGGCTGGGCCCATCGGCACACTGCTGCTCATTCAGCCTGACACACCATGGTATCTCCTCATTCCTCGCTCCCGTCCCAAGCAGGGGTGGCTGGTTTTCCCCTCTGTCCTCCGCCACGTTAGCCACGGCCGGCCGGCGTCCTTTCTCATGGCCTTTCCTCACCCTAGCCTGAGGGACACTTTGCATCCATTTGCATATATTCCTTTGGGAATAAGTTTTCCTCAAAGATGGAGTTTTGCTCATTTTTGTACATTTTCTTTACTGTTTTCAGGTAGTTTCAGAAAGAAGGGGCCAGGGTCATCTTACAGATAGGTAAAAGAGTGTCCTTTTAAGAGAGCAGATTTGTTAAGACTCCTGCTTTTGCTGAATAAAGAATAAAAAGGAATTGAGGCCTTTCCCTGAGAACCAGTTGTCCTTGGTGTTATCTCTCAGTGTGTATTCCTCACGGCCCGAGACAGGCTGAGGATGGATAGTGGTGGTGTTTGTGCTGCCCTGGCCCTGTGGGAGCCTGTCGGGGATCTCTGTGGCATCTCTGGCGTTTTCCTGTGATAACATCCGGTCTTCCTGCAGAGATCTCTCCAGATAAGCAGGATGCATTTACTCTGGCTTATCATTGCAGAAGGAGATAACAGTTGAGAATTCTTTGTGATGATGGTCAAGGCAAAAAGCTATATTTGGATTGAAAACTTTGTTCCCAACCCTCTAAAAAATTTGAAATATGTGGCTATGGCTAGAACCTGAGCAGAAAATGGGGAAATGGAACAACGCTATTTAATAGCATATCTCAGTTTTTCTGCAGTATCTAAAAGGGAGAAACACGGGGGTCTGAATTCCTCATTTCCTTGTTTAAAATGAAAATAGGTCTAAAGGAATATTTATTGAGTGTGAACATCCTGGCCTACAGTCATTGCTTGGCTCCCTTCGAGTGACTCTTTGTGGCCAGGCTGGACTGGCCTTCTCTGGGCAAGCCCAGCTTCAGGTTTTGCAAAGGCAGCATGAGAAGCAGTGCCTAAAAGGGAGTGTGGAAATTCCACCCCTTCCTCCAAGGTCGAAGCAGGTGCAGCTAGTGCTTCTTCCCAAATGTTTCATGGGTTCCACATCTCCATCTGCCTGATATCTGAGACGTGAGGATGCGTCGGCTTGCACGAACTCCACTGCACCGCTGTGCTATTTTTGTCCCAATTATAGGCCTGGTGGGAAGCTGGCATCTCACCTAGGCGGCATCTGTGTGTGTGACCTGTTTCATGTTTCCATCAAAAGCATGTCCTGGGCATGGCAGGAGGAAGCAGAATGGTACCTTGGCTGATCCCTGGGTTTGAAGTCAGAACTTTCAATCGACATCTCAACTGTTTGGGCTTTTATCACTATGGTGACCATATAATTTATCCTCTAAACCAAGACACATCTAAGAGAGTGTCATTAATAATTAAACAGGGCCATAAACATAAATTGGGAATGTCCCAGGCAAACCAGAATGAATGGCCAACCTAATTATCTCCTAAATTTCCGTGATAAATTCAAATGTATTAAGATACATTGTAACATATATCTCACTTTTTCTCCAGCAGTGCAGTAAAAACCTGACATTATCTTTATTGTCAAGACTAGATACTTATTCATACTTAGCAGCAAAAATGCTATCATTTAGTGATGAATTATTTAATCCTCAAAGCCTTTCAATTTTATGGGTCCATGCATTCATTTTTACATTACACACTCATATCTTGCTCATAGTCTTCTGCCACCTTATAGGACATGCGGTTTGATTTATTGCCATAGTTTATTACCCAGAATTTGTTGGTAGGGTTACGGTGCTTTTAGCTGGTAAATTCACTCCATCAATAAGAGCTGTAGTAGGGCAGCCAACGCTCAGTGGACACTGTGCCAGGCTCTGTGCTAACAGCTTTACTCAGGGAAAGAGATTCACAGGTAATAGCTCACTTAATCCTCACATCAACCCCATGAGGAAGGCTCTATTATCATCTCCTCTCTACTACACAAAGAAGTTAAATAACTAACGTTTAGTAACTCACAGAGCTAGTAAGTGCAGAGCCTGGTTGAATATGCAAACAGGCTGACTTTAGGACTCACGCTCTTAGGCACATTCTATAGCCGTTATTCCTAGTTAAGGAATTTGCTCTATTCTATATGCTACAGCCGGTTAATGTTTCCTTAAATGAGAACTGATGCAGAAATGTCACTTTTAAGCCCATCCCTCTTCAGTGGCTCTTTCTTATTCCAATTTGCCCATTGTTCCAACTTGGCATATTTTCCATACAGCTCTGGTTTACAAACTTCTGTGGTAGCTTCCTTTGCTTTACAAAGATATGTTAAATGGTGATAATGTTGTTGTACTCTTTCAACTGAGCTCCGATTGCTGAGGAAATGTAATTTTAGTGGGATAAGTACTGTGAGAAATTCAACTCAAGTGTTTTAAAATCATCCCGTGTGTTCCTGGATGTATGGAATACTAAGTCCTGTGACAATGAATTAGATCATTTGCTTATTAGGATGTCCTGTCTCCCTTGAGGTTCTAGCAACATTTCCTGCAGACTTTCCATGCATTCGTGAGTGCTTCTCGGTTCCAAGGACCAGAGTAGGAGGTGTCTTGGCACCCGTATTCACCCTGGGCCCAAGAGGAGAGGGCTGTCAACACTTACTTCCCATCCCAGCTCCAGTGAACCCATGGACCCACCCCACCCCCATCTCATGAGTAGCCAAGGGAGGGGTCCCATGAAAACAAGTGACTTGTGGTTTTGCTGTTATACTGTTTCTGTTGTTTTTCTCGTATTTCCATTAAGCATTTTAAAATTTGTGGCATGAGGGAATGCTGATATTTTTAATAATTATCTATATTCTGGGATCTTCCTATGCATTATTTTATTTAGTTCCCATAACAAGCTATGAGATAAGTCCTCTTTTCTCCCATTTTACAGGAGAAATTGAGGTTCAGAGAGGTCAAGTGACTTGCACAAGTCCCAAAGTGTTGGTCTTTGGATAAAACCCAGAGAATTGGTCTTGGGAGTTATTTTCTCGGTTTCATCTGAAGTTCACGCTCTGCCCTTCATGCTCTTCTATTACTGACTCCCTGGCTGGTCTCTGGTCAACACAGCACCTCCTCCATTAGCTCCTTGCAGAGCTATACCTGTCTCTCAACCACTGTGTCTTGGGTTTTCCTTCTGGGCATCATTTCCCAGGTGAGTTTGTGATTCTTCGAACTAATTATTAGAAAGTATTTTGGTAGAAGAACTTTAGTGTATTTCATTGAGCAATCTGGATCGACATTTGGTATACTGACCCTACCCTGATGAAGGATGATCATCCTCATTAGCTAGGTCCTCCACAGTTGAATGAGTTCTGTTATATGATTCTGGAAAATATGAAGAAATGAATGTGATGTTTGAAAAGATTTTCACCAGCTTCTCATTTTAGGCCTTTACAAATTGAAGAGAAGCCTAAAGACACAGGATAGTGTACATCCGCTGGGTAGCATTGGCCCAGAAACACCAGCATCAACTGTACTCCCAAGGCCTGTGAACAGCATGGCATCTGAAGGCCCTCATTTGAGTGTTTGTAACTATACGAGGCTGTGGATAAATCTCTTAAAAGTTAGAGAAAATTTTGTTAAGAAGATTAACAAAGGTCAACCCCTCACCATCACCGCCACTTGTATGGGGAGAGGATGGTATCCAGAAAGTTTATTCAGGAAACGAAACCTGTGCCACACAGCAACTGACTGGGTTCTCCACATCCCGCTTTTCAGGGGACTCTGACGGCTCCTGAGGTCAGTGTCTTGTCACAGTTCACAGAGAGGGTGATCATACATGATCTTGTGGTTTATTGCAGGGAACTCGTAAGCCAAACCCTCCTCAGAAGCCTCTGCCTGCAGATCCTTTGAGCAAGACGGCCCGGCTCACCAATGCTGCCACCAGGACTCTGGGACAGCAGGAGTCCAGGCTCCACCTGGCGCCCATCAGGTTGGTGTGACGCAGCTATGCCCATCTCTTTCTCCCCTGACCTGTGTGGGGCAGCTGCACTAAGCCATGCTCTTCAAGCCATGTCAAGACAGGCAGGGGGTGGTCTAGGCCATGGTTCCTGCGCTCCCCACCCCTGGGAACAATATAAAATGGATGCAAGGGCAGATGTAACAATAACCAGGAGGCCGTTGTGAGCTTATAATCACAAGTATCACCGCGTGCCTCTTAGCAATGGCCCCAGTGTACCCAAGAGATCAAATCAAGTGGAACTAGTCCGTGTGCCTCAGAAAGCTGTGGCTGTTGATACGGGCCAGGCTGTGTCCTCCAAAGAGGCAAAGAAGAAAAGATACAAGTGGTATGATTTTATGAAAGCCAGACGCATACCTCGAAAAAATCTCACTTAGCGCTTGATAGGCTCTGCCCAGTCCCTGGGGTCCTGAGAAGTGAGGTGGGGTTGGAGGATCACAGATGAAACAAGGGCAACGTAAGAGCTAGGCTAAAGAAGGTGCTAGGTGGTAGGAGACCTGTGTAGCTGGGAGCGTCTCTATCCTGCTAACAAGAGGAATCGCCTCTAAAGACGTTTCTCCAGCTGTGGTCATTCTTACACTGTCCCGCAGAGGAGGAGGAAGGCACAGTCCCGAATCTGAACTTATGCAGGGAGGTTAACCCGGTGGTGTGCTGGAGCCAGCCCACACTGGTTTTCAAGAGCTATTAAATTTCCAGGAATTTTTTCAAGCTTGGTGTTAAACCTAGCCGCTATTAAAAAATTAAATTATATAAACTTACAGTGATATAAATTATATTAAAAACAAACGTAATAAATGCTCAAAACTCCTCACTTCTCTTTTTTGTTAACTACGTTTTACTGTTATCTACACTTTTGAGATTACACCTATTATTTCTGTATGGTGGAAATACCATCTGCTTGTGGCTCCTGCGCCTCTCTTCCGTGCTCAACCACATCATGTTGGTAGCCTGAGTATTTACACCATGGAATAAGCATATGCTACGAATCAGGCCCTCTTCCTTCCCCGCCGTGGGTAAACATTTACCAGCACACAGATGGGTTAAGCCCTCAGCCAAAACACCCCTCTGACACGCGTGCCCCCTTGGCAGGAATCTTGTTTTATGTGCTCGAAAGAACCAAAGGTAGTGTGTTGGCCAGGCTCTGGGTTCAGTAATTCAGCCTCTCTGAACGGGAAGGCACACATTAGTGATTTCATTACAGCTTTTGGGAAAAATGTTTGGCCTGTGAAAGAGATAGCTGCCTAATAAATCTCAGAGATAACGCCAGTCAAAAGGTCAGGATAGTGGTTTAATTCCTGACTGCATAGATGCAGAAAAATTGCAGAGCATTCTAATTATTTCATTGTGGTTTGTATCCTGATCTTGAAGTTACTTTTCTTGTTCAAAAGAAAAAGCACCATTTCACATGGCCATGAGGAAGAGAAGGCCCTCTTTGTGAATGCCCTCGAGCAGTGGGCTCACCTCTGCCAGGGGCTGACACCAGCACAAGCCGGTTTTGGTCTTGTCCTGGAAGGAGAAGGATGCCCCACACCTTCATTTCTGAGGGCTCCCACATGCCCAGCTTTGCTCCCCGGAACTGTGCTAATACAGTAGCCACAGCACAAGGTGGCCGCTAAAAAGTGAGATATGCTGTAAGCACAAATATACTGTGGATTTTGAAGACTTAGTACACCCAAAATGTCAACTATCTCATTAATAATTTTTATGTTGATTATATATGGAAATACTAGTACTCTGGATGTACTGGGTTAAATGAAATTTATTACTAAAATTAATTTCATCTGTTTTTTACTTTTTTCATGTGGTTACTAGAAAATACAAAGTTAGGTATGTGGCTCACATCCTTCTATGGAATGGCGCTGTTCTAGAGTCAACCTGTGGATGGGAGGTGCAGCTTTGGAAAGGGCTCCTCTAGTGGTCGTCTGTCGAACTGCTGGAAATCCTGTAGCCCTGAGCCAGTTCCCCTTTGTGATCTCCAGCCCCCAGCATGGGGCGGAGGGGGAGGTGGGATCTGAGTCTGGAAGCGCATCAGAGTGCAGGAAAAGACATCTCCAACCCAGACGTCCGTATCTGCAGAAATCGCTTTCAGGGCCTCTAACTACAATTTTGTTTTCTCCTCTCTCGATTGCTCTTGATGCAGACCCGCTCCTAAACATCCACACCAGGTGCCCAGACCCGCCCACACTGCCTATCTTAAGTGAGAAGCAAGCCGACACCTTTTTTCAACAGTGAAGACAGAAGTTTGCACTATCTTGCAACTCCAGTTGGAGTTATTTTTTGTACCAACTTTTAGAATTTTTTTTTTAATGTTTCAAACACCATTATTTTAAGAACTTTGAGCTACTACCATCGGTGCTGTGCTGTGCTATGGTGCTCTGTATACTTGCTCAGGTACTTGTAAATTATTAATTTATGCCAAATGCTCATTACCGTGCAGTGCACTGTAGTAGGCATTTTTACCATCACTGAGTTTTCCACGGAAGGAAGGCTTCTTGTGCTTTTAATAGTTGTGAACTTGAAATACCGTGCTTTATGGGATTCTGGACAGGTTGTTTACTTTTGGATCGAGGCTTTATTGGAGAGCAGTTCCCCAGCTACCCAAGGCTGTGGTTATGGTACCAAACACAGCTCAGCAGACCCCAGGTAGAACCTCGAGTGATTTTCTGGAACCCCTGATCTCAGGCCAGAGCCAGAGGCTTCAGGCCCAGGCTGTGCTTGGCTTTCCGAGAGACCCTGGCCCCTGTCACAGCTGACAGGCTGGCCCACCAGAGGCTACACCTTGAAGCTCCGGGATAGCAGGGAAGGATCTGGCTCCTGGCCAGGCTCAAAAAAAACAAACCTGGGGTTGCAGAAAGGAATTTTAAGGTGTGACCACACCAGGATAGAGGCTGGAAGACAAGGCCAGGCAGAAACTTGACCTTGAGGCTCACAGGCCACGGGCAGATTTGGCCAGCAGGCAAAGAAGTTTGCTTTATAGAAACACCAAGAACTTCTTTTCCTGGCTGCCCTTTAGATAGTGCTGGCATTAGCACTTTATTTGGGTTGGGAAAGGTGGCGTTTCTGTAGGAAAGCCACTGCCCGGGGACTGCAACCTTCCACCTCCCCGTACTGTTTGGAGCTCAGCAAATTACCACCTTGTCTTCTCTACTGTAATACAATGATTCTGTGTTCAGACAGATAGATGAGGCTTTCCATGGGACCATAACTATTTTCAGATGTGAACCAGTAACCAGATCTAGTGAATCAATGCTGTAGATAAAAATCTCCTTTTATTGCAAGGTTCAACTTATTAAAAATTAGGCAGAAGCCCTATGCTTGCAAAAACTACAACCAAATGGAATGCTGTGTTCGTTGGTATAGGCTATGTCTGCTATCCTTATTGGTAGATACTGGACAAAGACCCTTGAGTTACTAGTAAGTTCTCTTTGGGGCATCCTATTTTCCCAGCTTGGCTGCAGGAACCTTTAAAAGATGTTTTTAGCATAAAGTGAATCTATTTCTTAAACACTTGCAACCTACCTGTTGAGCATCACAGAATGTGATGCGGAAATCAATTTCCTGATCCTAAATATTCATGAAATGCAGTCTTGGGCAGCAGCCCTTTCAACCTTTTACTCTTCAAATGTCTGTCTGGGAAGCCATTTTCATGAGATCTTGAAGACGCCTTTATCTAATGTCATGAAAATTACAAAAATACTCAGACAAGGTAAAATGCCATTATGCCTCTGTCTTCTAGTGGGGTCGTATGTGACTAGTTTTCACATTAGAAGGCAATTGACAAGAGTTCCCATAATTCACTCTGAGTGTTTTATGATAAAGACTTCATCTGGGGTCATTTCAATGGTTTTTCTATGCCTTGAAGCAGAAAGACAAAATGTACCAAGAATCTTGGTTTGCCTTCCAGAAAACAAGACTGCATTTAACCTTCCCTGTGTTCCCCACGGTGTCTAGGCAACATAGTATTCATGATTGTGGATAAACTAAATAAAACCACATCATAACACACACACACACACACAAAAGGGAACCCAGCTCTAATACATTCCAACTCTTATAGCATGCATCTGTTTATTATACAATTATTAATGTCTTAAAAATGTAAAGCCATGGTAGAAAATATTACTGCTGATGAGTACATACAGAATTACTGTAATCGATATTATATAATTGTATTAAGGCCAAAACATATACTATTGAAAAGTTTACAGAATTTTTATGGTGCATTATGTGGGTATTGTCCTTATAGATGCCCAAATCCTTAGACCTGGCATTTTCGCCCCTCGTCCGATTGTGGGGAGAGGATGTGAACTGACTGTGTGTGTCTGTCCTTAGTTATAATTCCTGTGCTTCTGTTTCAGAGAACCAGGGATAGTTTGATAGTAAAGGAGGTTAACGCTGTGATCTTATACCACGTCATCAATGGCCACTTAGGGGCTGTGGCTGATGACACATTCTTATCTCTACAGTACTAACTGCTTTTATAGAGCCATGCCATTTATTTCTGGATAAGAACGTATTTAAACCTACTATCCCCTTACAATACACAGATAATATTATTAAAGGAACAATACTTCCAAGGTGCAGTATTTATCAGATGAAGCATACTTAGCAATAACTTCCATTTTAATATAACTTAGGAAAGGAACCAATAGCCAGGTTTTTTCAGGGAGAGAGGTATTCCTCCCCCTTTTTATATCCTCATAGATGGGAACAAAAATCAATACTTATATTTCAATGGCAGTCTATTTTTAATATGTTTTTAAATTTTATAGCCATGAATAATAGAGTTGATTTGAGTTTATAAGGCCATCACTGAGCAAGTCAAGGTGTCTAGACACAAAGTAGGCCCTGAGGGTGGGCACTTTTCTTCCTTCATCCTCTTAGCGTTGTAGGTTATATGACCCCACTTTACCGGGAAGTATATTGCTAATCTTCCAGGCATTCTATTTAAAAGTCTATCTCCTGAAATTTTTTGTAAGAGTTTGTTTTCCTGACACATGGAATCAGATGTGTAGCAACCAAAAGAAACAATGCATAACATTTTCCATTGTCAAAATATGCATAGAGGTTACACTTCCAGCTTACACATGTGGGATGACATCACAGAAACCACAAAAGCAACAAATTAAACTACATGAGAATAAATACTCCTGACTAGTCTCAGAGGGGACATTTTTATGCCTTTTTAACTTTATTAGGAATTCTCAGGCTGAAACCACAGGCCATTGTTCTCTGGAAAATCAATACAACACATCAATGTATCCCCTAAAAGAAAAACAGCTAAAACTCTGATCTGTGTCAGACTGTTCTTTAGGAGCCTGTGATCTCCCATGGTGCTAAAAAGAGCCTGGTGCTGGGCCAGCTAGAATGCCCGAGCGTCTTCCTGCCATTTCTCAACTGATGTTTACTAAGCACTCTGAGCCAACGAGACTCTGACAAGTGAAAGGGCGCGATGCCTGGGCAGCTCGGCCAGATCTTTCTCCTGCAACCTGACCCTTCTAGGGTCTTTCCTCATGAGGCTTATTTCATTTAAAACTTCTGCTATGGGGGGCTCCCCTAGGTGTTCCGGGAGCAGGAAGCCTAGGGCAGACTTGGTCTGGAGATCTTTCCTCACTGCTATCAAAACAATCCCAGCCAAACACAAGTGACCCAGATGAACATTACACCAACCCTCCCAGAAGTCTCCCAGTGCCAGTGCTGACCCCCAGATTGACTCTCAGACTGTGGATTTCACACACTATGGCTGGCTGGTGGAGAAGGTTGTAGCTACCATCTCTTCTCCTTCCCACCACGACAGAGGCCAGTCCTAGGCTGCCACAGTTACTCCCTGCGACGCATGAGCAGGCCCATAAACATCTGGATGCAGCCAGCCAAGGCTAATACATCTATTTGCCTCTCCTTATCACCCAGACACAGATCCCTTTCCCAAGCCAAACCCAGGGCTGATGCCTCTCCAATCTCTGCCAAATCTCTACATTTGTAGCTACTTCAGGTCAGCCAAAGTGGTGATTGCTGCAGCGTGTGGCTGCCCCCACAAGTCCACCCTTTGGACACCCAAAGCCCAACCTTCTCCAGGGCTGCAGCACGGAGCAACCCCACCATCTACCCCACCAGCCTTGAATCCAGCAGATCCCTCCCACAGACACATCACCCCACAGTGACCCCTCCCCCACCTAAAGACTTATTCTAATTAGAAGAAGGAGTTGGCCACAGAAAATCAGTTTATCTATGATCGCAAAATTCTCGACTCACCCTATAGTTCCTATTGACATCTATTTCTTTTAAACCTATTTGAAAACTCTGATAGTGATACAAGTAACAGGCTAAGAAAGGTTCGTGAGCCCCAGGCTGAGAACCATTTCTGTGCAGTGAGGGTGCTTCCAGGGCCATTTACGTACACATGCATGAACTATTTCCATGCTTTTCATAAAAAAAAAAAATCCCCTCTTCACTTTTGGGACAGCAATGGCAGTTTATAATCCAGCCATTAAGAGCCTGTTTCATGAGAAAAAACTAGAAGAAGAAAACTGCACATAAAATTATAATTTTCAATAATGGATAGTGATAGCCAGAAGCTTTAACACAATGAAAGGAATTCTCAATGTCATTCCACTCTTCCAGGTTGACTGCTCTGTAACCCACTCGGATTTTCCACATCATCTTCAAAAAACATGTCCTATGTTCTCCCTGTGATTCTCCTTCCATAAAATAATTCTTTAGTCCTCAATTTAGCATGTTTTAAAGCCAGACAAAAGAATATAAATATGTTTAATCATTTTAGTTTTACAAAGAAGTCGAATGATGTCTATGTTGATGGCCTATAAGCAGGTACTTAAGTAGGGCGGTAATAGAAAAAAATATCAAATTGGAAAGACAAAAAATCCTCTAAGAGTCCAAGGCAGGACAAGTAGTGGCAGAGCTAATTGTTCTCTCGTGCCTTCTATCAGGTCAAATTGGGAGGTTGTAGGGAAGGTCCATTGTTTGAATGTGTGCGGCAACTGTTAAGTATAACTCTGTAAAACTTGGCTACAGGCTATTCAGCACAGTACAAAGTTACAGCTCCTCAACCAGTACATTAATTTTTTAGTGCTTCATCCATTTATAATGCTTTGGTTTGCTAATTTTTTTCACATACCTTTTTATGTTACAGTCGGTTACATTTGTACACATTTCTCATATTGGGGTTCTACAGGTAACACAACCTGCTATTTCCATAGAAAAAGCCATTGTTAAGAATATTATATCCAATAAATGGTATACAGATAAATATAAAGACGTGTCTCATTCATTACTGAGAATGTTACATTTTTCTACAGGAGGATCCCCGCCCCCCCATTTTTGTATCTATATTCTCATTCACTTATAGATGCATGAGGACGTTTTGGAACAGTACATAAGAAGCTAAGAAGATTGGTGAGCTGGGAGATCAGGGGATGCATGCAGCAATCCACATGAACCAGTCAGATGATGGGGCCAGAGAGATGAAGACACCTTTTCATGTACACACTTTGGGGGGAGAGACTTGATACTTTTTTTGAACAACGTGAATACATAACCTATCAAAATAATTTTTTTAAAATTCACCTCATTTACAGAGGAGACAAATTCAAAAAGCAAGCAAGCAAGCAGGTGTAGAAACATCTACATCAGACTTATCCGGAAGGAAAATCTGAGTATAATGGAAATCTATTTACAAATTTTTTTAAAATTGCATCCAACTTCATAAAGAACTGCAGAAAATACAAAAAAAAATAGATATACAAAATAGTAACAAAGGGTCTTTATTCTTACCACCCTCCACCCATGACAAAGCAAGTAGGCAAAAAATAAGTACAGAAGTACAGAAAAGACTTCAAACATAGTTAATAATGTAGATCAAATTGATATATCAGATGAGATACTTCAAACATAATATACCTCCTTTCAAAGTGTCTCTGGAAAAAAAAATTATATATTAAGCCACAAAGTAAAACAAATTCCAAATGTTACAAGTTCTCAAGATTATAATGTATGAAGAGTAGAAAGACAATTCCATGCCCTAGAAATGTAGCGATCCTTGAGTCAAAGATGAATTGCAGATTATCTAGCAAATAGCAAATGAAACCATTTGTAACAGCACACTCTGGCTTTGGTTCTCAGTCTCCTTGAATTGTAAGCACTCACCTGGGATGCTTATTAAACTCCACTGCTCATGTCCTACCCTGACTATTCCAATTCAGAGGGTCTGAGATGGGGCCTAGAACTTTGCATTTAAAAAGTACCCCCAATTAAATCTTTATCAGGAAAGTTTAGAAAACTTTCTAGAGGAATACAACTAACAAACACAGTACTGAGGGGAAGATTCATAGCCCTAAATCCACATATTAATACACACACACAAAAATGAATTTAATATCCAACATAAAAAATTAACAAAAACAAAAAAATAAACCTAGGGAAAAACAGAAGGAATGAATTTGTAGAAATAAAAAAGTACAAATTAATTGGAAAAACTAAAACTAATAAAACGCTGGGTTGCTTCTTTGGGAAAATTAAAACACAAGATAAACCACCATCTAATCTCATTAAGGAAAAAAGAAGATAAAAGGCAAATACACATAGCACATGAGTATACAGACTCCAGCAGTCCACTGTAACCCAATGAGATTATTTTAGGAATATAAGGATGATGCAATATTTAAAAATCTAATAATCCACGTCACCAAATTGATAGACTGTAGGGAAATATGCCATATTATGATTACCAGAGATGCTAAAAAGTCGTTTGATAATATTCAATATCCATTCCTGAGTTTTTAAAAATCTGAATAAAGTAAGACTGGAAACCATAGGATTTGAGGGATGCTAGTGTCATTTGTAGAAAATTAAATTCACAAATATATATTAGGCCCTGATAAGCAGTCGTTTTTGGCTAAGTTATACTGCAGTAACAAACCACTCAAATTTCAGTAACTTACAACCTGAAAGGATTATCTCTTACACATCATATCCATTCTGGGTGAGCTTTGGCTCCTCTCGGGGCCCTGGGCTGATGGAGCAGCCTCCGTCTGAATCACGGCTGGTCTTGAGGCAGAGGAAAGAGAGACAGAGATTCTTAAAACTTCTGCTCAGAGAGGAGAAGCTATTTCCACTCACATTTCATTGACCAAAGTCAGCCCCATCATATGGCCAAGCCTGATGTCCACAAGAAGGGAAGTACCCTCCTCCCACAGAGGGGCTGGTGAATATGAGAGAGACAACAGACCAAGAAGTGAAATTAAGGGGAATGTCGACATTGATCATGGGGGAAGAAAGGGCTTTGGAAAGTTGTGACTATGCTCTGATTTTTAGAGCGATTAAAAAAATTAATCTAGCAAATGTAAAGGACTATGCATTTGTACAAAAGGTAAAACACTAATGAAATATCTAAGGAGAGGACTATCTATGACCCACAAATCCAGTTCCTAAAGTGGATGTTCTATAAACTGGATGGAAAAAAAGCTGAGAATTGTCAACATCAATAAAATTGATTGTGTGCTTTTTCTCTTTGCCCTTCCCCCAAAGCTCTGGTGCTTTAATTACCTTTTAATCGGTCTTTGCTTACAGAGAAAATTCCACTCCCGTGCAGACCTCTGTAGCTGGTCTTCTCATGGGGCCGAGTTAACCAGCTCGTCTCCTGAGACATAAAATGCATGTGGTCTGCTCGCTCACTTTGCGGACTTGTAAGCGTGTCTGCGAGTTAAAGCTCCCCCACGTTTGTCTAAGCTCCCAACCGGCAGAATAGCTGCGGTTAATTCCTACTTGTCTCCGAACTGCGTGATCAGCATCAAAAACCTTTCTGGTCTGAAGGCTAAATTTAATATACTATTCGTTGGCAAAGCCGTCAACATGCCAGCAGGCCGGGTCTTGCACTGTCAGGGCATAAGTACATGCAAACACATTCTCAGACAGGTCTGTTCTGAAAAGACTGACCCTCCACCAGACACCTCTAATAGAGCAGAATCGGAGTCTTGAAATCTGTGTCTTGTGCTTTGATGTGAGGCCAACAGCTGAGGAGAAAACTTTTCACGTGGCCTCCTGGGCTTTCAGGAGGAGCGTCACACCAGCCTGACAACACAGCCTGGAAGGCCTTAAGTCGGGAGGGAGGACATAATTGGAAACACATGAGGGAAAGAATTTCCACAAGGGCCTGGAGTGGCTCAGAGGACAGCTCGGGGGGGCAGGAGCGGGAAGTGGGAGACCCATGTATGTTTGTGCAGCTCCAGAACATAAATATTTTGTTTCATGTCTAACTCCAAAAGGCACAAGTGCAAGAAAACATCCCCATTCTGCAGACGCCCAACGATGACACCGCAGTCGACGTGCTTAGGTAAAAAGATGTATTTCCAAGTGGGAAGAGTTGTGCGTTACAAAAGTCACTGTGAATCTTCAACTACATAAATAATCAAATATATAGCCCTCAAAGAGGCAGAATTTCCTCTCTCTAGTTCAACAGTCACGTTTTGCTTTGTTTCACTTGGCTCTGGGAGGTCAGCGGTGCCTTGTCAGCGGATAGACGACTTCTTCGGCATTTGCTTTTTTTTCCTTTCTTCTAATAAGGAGACTACATGCTAGATAAACAAAAACAGGTGAATGTAATCCAAGGTTTGGGTTGAATTTTTTTTTAAAGTACTACAAAATTAGCCTTGAAAGGTAGAAAGAACATCCCAACCTGTCTGTCAAAAACTCTGGCCATTTCTAGGACGCCTTTGCCAAACTAAAAGAGAAAACAACAAAAATTATATCATACATATGTTCTTTCTGTTCCTCCAGGGCAGAATTTTAGGTAAAGATGGAGTTGTTTACCTCATTTTTTACACTTGCATCTGCCCCTTTGTCAAGAAGTAACTGGACTAACTCTTCATGATTATTTAACACGGCCACCTGAAAAACAAAAATCAGTGGGGGTGTGAGTGAGCTCTCCCCTCCCCGCAGCGGGCACAGGCAGCAGCGAGGTGGGCCTGGTGTGGCAGGTCCACCCAGCCCTCCAGCAGCATCGTCACGCAGTCAGAGCTGGCCAGCCACCAGGGCTTTGCAGGACAGGCCTGTGTCCTCTCGCTCTACAGCGATGACAACTGCAAGGAGAAGGGAAATGGAGTCTGCCTTTCTCCACATTAAAATGACATGAGAAATCCTGGGCCAGCCCAGGACAGAAAGCAGCACGTTCTTTGTTTTCACAGATCTGTTTTGATCCTACAATGGCCCTGGGGACTGGGGTTGGTAATCCTTAAAGGAATAGTTGTAAAAAGAGAACAAAAACATCACAGTGACATTGTCATCCCTTTATTAACAGGCAAATAGGGAATATATAAGGCAAGCGAAACCCAGGGCTCATACACAGCTCAACGCACAAGAATTGCGCAATCATAGAAGCAGCTCTGACCTTAATTCCACACACAAAGCCAGGCTGTTTTCTGAAGAACAGCATACCATTAGAGGAGTCTTTCCGTCTTTATCTTTCATGTTCACATCTGCTCCTGCGTCAATCAGCAGAGAGGCTACCCCCTGGTTTCCTGAGACCGCGGAGACTCGCATGAGTGGGGTCCACCCTGAGCCAGCGTCCACGGCATCCACCTGTTATGTCAGGAAGAGCGTCTCTTAGTCCAGTTTCTTTTCCTTGAAAACATTCATCAGAAACTTATAGAGGAATGTTTACTGGCCCAAATCCCCCCAGTTTAGATAGCAGTCTTTCTAGACTTGGTAAGAGTTGGCTGGACTGTGCTAATTTAATTCACATTTATAAGCAGTGAGAAGCTAGGATCACCTTGCAGGGTGCTGAGAGGCCCCAGGACTCCCCACTGGCATCTTTGTCTACATTTTGTTCAAATGGAAAAAAGATGGGCTAGAAAAATGAATTAAACATAATCTCCTTACTCTTGCCCCATGTGAGCTCCCTACCTTATTTTCTCTTCACCAACCTTCCTCACCTGTTTTTTTAACAAAGTTTATTTTGCTTACTTTTAAGTATCTTTGTAAGCAGCTTCAAATCATTTCTAGAACACGACAATAATATTACAAGTACCCTTTACTTATCAATATGTATTAATTTTAAGCAGGAGACATACAGGTAGAGTAAATACAAAGCAACCAGATCTATTACACCAATGCCAATCTGAAAGTTAGCCAAGTTAATGCCTTCCCCAAAACATAGTCTGCCTGGTAATAAGATGGCCATTTCCCAATAATCCAATAACTGAGATCTCTCAACTTCATGTTTTAAAAGACATATTTTAGAATAAGAAAATGTAAATGTTGCCACCTCCAATTCCAATGAAGACCTCATCAATCCATGAAGAGTGGTACTAAAGTAAATATATATACAGTGCACAGACGGTCATGCACACACACACAAATCTAATTCTGTTGCAGAAATTACTCAAAGATGTCTGTAGCTTTAGTAAAACATCAGAATGGAATAATAAACAAGAAACTGCCAGTAGGTCCTTGGGATATTTCAGGTTATTTGTATGTATGGGATTATCCACTGCAGCATCGTTAGGATTTGCAGTTCTTCCTCATGGATATAACAAATAACTTTTGGGCAACAAGCCTCATTATATTCAAATAATAATAACATAATTGCCTCGTATTACATGGTGCTTTATACAATTTCAAAGCGCTTTCACACACATTTTCTGTTTTGGTCCTGAGGGTTAAGCAAGGCTAGGTATTTTTATTCTTGGTTTACAAGTGATTAAACCAAATCTCAGAGAAGTCAAATGCCTTTCCTGAGGTCACGTGGCTCATTAAATGCAGAAATGGTTCCCCATGCAAGTCAGTCTGTCACTTGCAGTATAAAATTACATTCAAGAAGAGGGTGGCCGCAATGCCCTGCTTGGCTCCCAGATCCCTCCTACAGTCTTCCAAAGCGTCGGGTGAACCGTCTGCCAAGAATATGGAGGGACCGGTGTTGACATCATCTATCCGCCACCAGCCAGCCACACAGAAATCTTTAGTGGACACGTTCATGTAGCTTCAGTGCTACAGAAAAGATGGAATTTACCCTCAAATAAGTGTGGTCATATCTGAAACCTAGAGAACCTAAGTTTTCCAAAATTATAGTATTTAATTGATCATGGCCGAGACCTGCCCTTCTTTCAGCAAATGTCAACCTTCATTTTCAACTACAGACTTTTACTGGGTCCCAGGCATGAGCAGAGTTCATCATAAACCAAACAAGGGGAATGTGGCTTTCACTGCCATACATAGCAGGTGTGTGTCAGCCCTACACCAGGCCCACACGCTAATCCTTATGACCTCTTGTGCATGTTTCTAAAACAAAGAAAACAAGAAATGTAATAAAAAAGGATTATCTTAATGACTGCGGTTTTTCCTTCCAGGGGCCCTTTTCTCAGCCCTCTGAAAGCAGCAGCAGGAACCAGTGAGATCCCACAACTTAAGCCTTGCTTTCCCTCAGTCTCACTTCAGAGACAAACTAGAACCAATCTACTAACATGATTTTTCTCAATTTGAGTTTATTTTCTAGGTAGGTCACCAATTTAATTTCTCAATACTCTACACCATCTGACAATCACAATTAGGACAGCACTTTGATCATCATTCTTTATTTCCATGCCTTGAAATTTTTATTTCACTTTTACAAGTCTTGAACTAAAGTTTTCAAAGTTACCAGCAGTTACCATAATTGAGCTAATTCTATTTACCTATTTTCAAATATCTATAGAAGTCCAAACAACTCCAATTCTATTTGCTAAATTAAATTTGGACTTTCTGATAACATGAAACCAAAAGCACAGCGACGTGCCTGCTTCAAGGTCAGACATGAAGAGCTGAAATGCTCCATTTGTGACACAGTCAGTTTGCTCTTTGGACATTTTTGTAACCAAGAATAAAAATAATCTAATTCTAAAAGCAACAAGAAGCACTATAAGAGTTCTTAACATCTTGGTGTCTCCAGCACCTAAGACAATATCTGGTACATGGTAGGTGCTCAATAAAGCTTTGTTGACAGACTGAATGAAGAGACAAATAAGTGAATGAGCAAAGGAATAAACAAAGTAGAAGAAGCATCAGGTCTGGCTCTGAGTTCAGCACAGTTTCTTTCTTCCTACATAAGATGAACCTCCATGACAATCTGAAACCTCACTATCATACCAATACTATAATGATCTTTTTTTCCAAGCTTCAGGAAGCTTCTTGCTGATAAATCAGAGAACTTTCTCCAGTATTTTTAAGTTCAGCTAATCAAAGGCATTCACATAAGGCTCTGCTTCTCCTAAACCTTGTGGAACAGCATTTCAGGTTCTTAACAACACGTGTGTAGTTAATAAGATCCCGTACCTCACAGCCATCCTTTATCATCCACTCAATCACATTGCAGTGGCCTCCATCTGCAGCCCAGTGCAGAGCCGTACAGCCTCCTAGGTCTCTAGTCTCCCAAGAAGCTCCATGTCTTCGGAGATATTTCACAACATCTAGGTGTCCCGCATAGCACGCAAGCATTAGACTGCAACATATGGAAGAAGCATCGGCTGTGAGTGCAGTCACCAAACTCAGGTCCACGTTCTGCCCTACCTGGCTCAAACAAAGAAACACTAATTTAAGCAGAAAAGCCATGAAAATTATTCACATAAAATGTTATGTATCCATCAAGTGATGAATGGATAGACAAACTGTGGCCTATCCATACAATGGAATATTATTTGACCATAAAATGAAATGAAGTATGGACATACACTACAATGTGGATGAACCTTCAAACATTACACTAAATAAAAGAAGCAGACACAAAAGGCTATATATTGTATGGTTCCGTTTATATGAAATATCCAGAATAGGCAAATCCGTGGAGACAGAAAGTAGATTAGTGGTTGCCAGGGGCTGGGGGAGGGGAAATAAGGAGTGACTGCTGCTAATGAGTACAGAGCTTCTTTCTGGGCTAATAAAAATATTCTGGAATTAGACAGTAGTGGAAGTTGCACAACTTTGTTACTGAATTAAAAAATGCTGAATTGTACATTTTGAAAGAATGAATTTTATGGTATGTAAATTATACCTCAATAAAAAAATGAAGAATCACTGTAATTAAGTAAAATATTGGATTTAAAAAACAGCCATGAGTCCATAATGATACTCAAAAAAAAAGGGGGAAAAATACCCATTTGACACTATTAGAGGTAACTAATAAGCCAATTCCTTACTCTAAATACTGGTATTTAAAGAAAATAATAAAACATTTACTGTGCCTTCATAGGATGAAAGGTAGTCCAGTTGATAAAGGAAAGCTCTTTTTTTACAGAAGCCTGCCAGCTAATAAATATAGAAAGAATCATGGAATTAGAAAATCACTTTTTTGCAACTCCCAATTAAATAACTGATTCAAGCAAGGATCATCAGTGGATGCTAAAATTATTGGATAAAAGGTTAATGGAGAACAGGACATTCACACCGTGCTGAATTTATTAGCCCATAGATTATCTCCTAATTGCAGTGGGAAACTGTCTTTACAAAGGAGAGACGCAGTGGTCCTACCCTAACCACATGATCAAACCTAGAACCCCCAACTGGGGGGTGGCCTGCATCACCAGCCTCCTGACGGATGCAACCTCGTCACAACACCAGCTCTGAAGTGCCCTTGTTAAAAATGTTAATCTGAATCTAATCAAGCCTTTAAACCCTATTTTAACTTTATTGGAAATAAAATGATGAATGAAGAAGTTAAATGCCTCCTTCACAACTAGGAGACAATTAGGCAAATCAAGAACATAGAGCATTCTATACAATAATTGGTCTAGTTGCCTCAGAAAGTCATTGTAGGAGAAAAAATTTTTTTAAAAAAAAGGATAGAAGCCCAGTCTAGAATAAAGAAACCAAAGAGAGTGAACAACCAGATGCAACGTGTGAGCCTTGTGTGGATCATGGTCTCACCCCATACCACCTAATGAGGCTATGGAAGACCTTCTGGGGGACTAGTGGGGAGACTTGTGTGGGTGGTTGGAGCATCGATGACATTAGGGAGCTAGTGTGAAGGGTCTTAGCGTGACGATGCCATGTGGTTATGCAGGTTGATGTCCTTGTTTGTAGGAGAAACTGAAATATTGCAGGGGCAGAGGGTTACGGTGCCTACTACTTACTTTGAAATAGTTAAGCCAAAAAAAAAAAGCTAATAAAAATGTAGACAGAGAAGCAAATGTTGCAAATGTCAAAACTGCCACCCCTAGGTGTGAGTATATAGACATTTATTGTACTGTTCTTTCCACTTTTCTAAATGTTTGAAATCTTCAAAATAAAGAGCGGGGGTGGGGAGGAGGAGGGTCTTCCCAATAGGGAAATTCTACCGAGTCTCAGCGTGACAGATAGAACGTCCAGCATGGAGGCCCAAGCCCGGGCTGGGCTGCAGTGGGACCTGCTGTCCACATTCCTGCATCCTTACACAGGCCTTCATTTCTCGGAGACTCCCAGAAGAGAGCGAGCGTGTCCCTTCACCCGCCCAGGGTTTAGGGGGTTGATACACCTTCCCAAACACTCTAGGTCTTTAGACTGACCTTTGCTAAAAGAAGAAATTTCATTTTTAATATCATATTCAAACAGAACTCTAGCTATCTGGATGATGTTTTTAAATAATGCTTGTTTTCTGATTATAAAGGAATGCATGCAACCTAGGGGAAAAAACCCACATCAGAGTCCCCATAACCTCACCTCTGAGAGAACTACTCCTAAGGTTCTGTTGAATTTGCTTCTGGGAGATAAGGAGGATTGCCTAGTAACCAACCCTGGGAGCTCTGGATTGCCCAGCAAGCTAATTGGGACCAGGGGCTTCTCCTCCCCATGGGTAGGGGCACCCTTGAACTTAACTTCCCACCAGCAGAAAGCCACCAAGGTCCTCCAGGTGCTGAGCGACTGGAATCTGCCACGACCCTCTAAACAACTGGCACCTGAGCTCAGACTGCCTAGCACCCATGCCCTGCTTTTCAAGGCCACCCTCACATACATCCACCCTGCAGGAAGGGAGAGCACAGGGGCACAGCATGGCCTTGCAGAGCATTCAGCTGTGCCCTGGGGCAGGCCCACCTGGAATGAAAGAACTGCCCACCTGCTCAGGGTCTGCTCCTGAACGCTTTGCACAAAATCCTCAGTCCCTTCTCTCTCTGTCAGTCTGTATGGTTCTCTTCCCTCTCCCTTTTTAGACATACTATCTTTCATTTTCTTAATATTATTTCATATACATCTCTATTTACTTACTCTGACAACAATATTCCTATCACTAAATATTCCACCATATACATATATCATAATTTGAATCATTCCACTATTGTTGGACATTTAAGTTGTTTAAAATTTTCACAATTTTAAATGAGTCTACAGCAAACATCCTTACTACGTAAAGTCTTATTGGCATTTCTGATTCTTTCCTGAGGGTTCAGTTGCTAAAAATGGAATCACTGTGTCAATAGATAGGGATATTCAAGGCTTGCTTTTGATGTATACTGCCACATTGCTTTCCAGAAAGGTTACATCCATGTGCACTTCTATCAACTGCATCTGAAAGTGTCCATTTTACTGTACCTGTCGCGCCTGTTCACTCTTCTACCTGAGTGCCCAGCACAGAGTCTGGCATGTGGCAGTCATTCGATAAATACTGCTTGATTTAATTAATTAAACCTAGCTACTAGATAAGTGATCATTTTCAAGTCTTTCTAAAACACTCTTTCATCTCTGTAAATATAGGTTTTTAAGTGTCAGGCTCTTTTCATAAATGACCCAGCCTTTCCACCTCGGGGAAGTTCTTGGGTTGTATCTTTGATTGTGATTGCTGTCTGCTTCTTTGCAAACACCTAAGATTCTTGGTTAACAGGGTAAGGCAAGATGCAGTGAGAGCCCTGAGGGAGGTACCAATGCCACAGGCACTTACAACAAAATGCCCAGCACAGGCTGGTGACAACTGTTTGACTAACCACCATTCACTGAACACTCAGTGTGTGCTGGCACGAGCTAGGGAAAGTGTATGCATTATGATGAAATAGCCGGTGGACTGAAAGAATAAGTGAACCAATGAGTGAGCCAGCTTTTGTCGTCGCCATCTCTCCTTTGGGATACGGTACTTCACCTCTCAGTACTGTCAAAATAAACTGGATCAAATACTTGGGTTCAATCAAAAGCTCTCTGGGGGGCTGGCCCAGTGGTGTAGTGGTTAAGTTCGCACACTCCGCTTCGGCAGCCTGGGGTTCCCAGGTTCGGATCCCAGGCACAGACTGATGCATCGCTTGTCAAGCCATGCCGTGGCAGGCGTCCCACATAAAACAGAGGAAGATGGGCACAGATGTTAGCCCAGGGCTAATCTTCCTCAGCAAAAAGAGGATCGGCAACAGATATTAGCTCAGGGACAGTCTTCCTCAAAAAAAAAAAAAGAAAAGAAACTCTCTGGGCACAAGCCTAGTAACACAAGCATTGGAACATTTTAGGGCATATTCCACACCCTACCTGTCCTTGCCACTTCCATTCTTCAGATTCACATCTGTGCCATTAGAAACGAGGATTTTCACAAGCCTAAAGGAAATAAATTTAAATAAGTGGAATAAATAGCTTTGAGTAGAAACCCATGATAATCTAGCAAAAATGAACAACACTACATCTAAGACACATCTTCACAATACCTTCTAGTCCATGTTCAGAGGCCCGCTGGCTTTAAAGACAGGGCATTATAAAACCAGAAAACTACTTCTCCAACACCAAAAAAAAAAGAGTTTTTACCCTTTACATGAACTATTCATTGGAAACAACTATACCAAATGAAACAAATTGAACTATCAAACTAATTCACTGTCACTTGAATGATGATTTTAAACATATTTTCAGAATAGCAGCAGTTAATGAAAATACATTTCTATTTTTTTCAAAATGGCACTTTAGTAGTGAAATATAAATATGATTTAAAAAGAAGCTATTAGTATTTATGCTTATCCTTGTGTAGAATAGAGATAATGGAGTATATCGATGAAAATTATCTTAGCAACCTATCAGGGAAGTTTGCTTCCCAGAATTAATACCCCTCCCTTTTCTTTTTTTAAAGAAATTCAAATTCCAATAACCAGTTTTCCCAGGGCATATACAATATATTGCAAAATATAATTAAATGGCTACCTCTCCTCTTCACCATATGATTATAAATTTTTACATTCTCTCCTGCATGGTGTATAACTTTATGATAAAAACAGCCGAGTTTTTGTTCAGCCCTTGCATGGCACAGTTTTGGAAAGAGAAAAGACATGGGATTCCCCATGACCCATTTCCCTCCCACCCCGACCCTGACTGGAGCCTTTGAGAGGAACGAAGCTTCAACCACTCGCTCGGAGAGACAAGAAAGGAGGAACCCCACCTGGTGTATCCTCTCTCGGCAGCAACCATCAGAGCCGTGAAGCCAAACTTATTGGGAACATCAACCTTAACATTTCTTGGGAAAAACACAGAGAAAAAGAGATTAACATGCTTGGCAGAGCTCCCTGTCGATTCACAGCTGACGTCTCTTGCAGGGCACAGGTGGCTAAAATGGTTCATTTTCCCAAAAATTCCAATTTCTTCTGGGCCATTAACTTTTTGTTGTCTTAGACTGCCCTGCCTAATATTTTAAAGGATTCAAATTCGCAAGAAAAGAAGAGAAAATTTCTGTAACTTCACTTAAAATAGGCACCCCTTTCAACTTGAAAGTATTACGCAATCTACTAAACCCCTCTATGAAGAGCACAGCCCCCTTAAATGCGCAGAGGACACAGTGTCTTCGCTGCAGACTGTCAGCTCCACTGAACACAAGTCTAGCTTGGTGGAGCCCCACATTTTCCCTTGATTCTCATCTCACATCCTGGGCAGAAAATGCTCTGCTGAAGGAAGAAAGCAGAGCTCTTAAGTATCAGCTCAGAAGCTTTGGCTTTTCGTGGGAAGCTTCTCTTCTCCAACTTACAGAGCCCCAATTCACAAATGACTTGTCCTCGAAGGCACTCAAAACTATTGATTCAGAAAGAATCGAGATAACGCTGTCCATATTTCATTGAGGAGGCAGCTTCAAATACCACATCTGCAGCAACTGGATTCACTATCCTCTATTGTTTTATCAACCTTTTGAATTAGAAAGAGTTGGTTTAGTGATTGCTTAATTTCATTAGGAATTAGATGTGGGCATTTGGGGGTGAAATTTGCCTAACTGCTATGGCATATAAGCAGGAGTCAGAAATTATTTTCTGGGAAGAAAATATGACAACCAGACTTGTAATTTCCATTTTCAATTTTCATTAAATAATTACATAATATAACATTTACATGAGGCTTACGGTCATCTTTATTAACTGCTGAACTCACACCAGTCACCTGAGATCAATTTTGGAGCCAGTTTCAAAGACATGGAAAGTTTTAAGAAAATAAAATAAAGCTGCATCATGCATTTCTACGCACTCTTAGGCATGAAAAATTAAAAAAAAAAATTTTAATGGCAGCGTTCTCTCACCCTCCTTGAAGTATTCGAACCAGCAAATCTTCATCGTTCACGTTGACAGCTCTATGAAAGTGCTCGCTACTCATGGGCTCTCCTGAAGAAATTAGACAGAAAGCAGTCACCCCAAATATGACGAAAGAAGATTCACCCCAGCTCTATTCCTCCTGTGGCCTTGAGTGGATGTTCATGTTCACCTCCAGGAAGGCCCCGGGCTATTCCGGTAACTATATCTTACATTTCCTAGTCAACTCCCTTTACTGAAAAAGACCTTGTTTTCACATATTAAGGGAAGAACATTTAGATTGTCCTAAAGGCTTGGGACATTTTCAAGTTATAAAAGTATTACTATATGAATGTTATTTTGATATTTGAAAATAATCCTTTCAGATTTCATAAGACTTAATATAATGTCTCCTACAAGCAAGGAAAAATTCCCCAATTGTCACAGCATGATGCTTTTGTTTGCCAAAGAGTCACTAAACTACTTGAATGGCAAACAAAAAAAGACAGCTCGCTTTAACATTTGAAATCCAAAATTTCAGTTCTTCCCAGGAATATAACATTCATATTGGCCTCGTCTCCTCTGAGCTTGTGGGGACAGAAGGGGCTCATACCCAGAGAGACAGAACATCGTGAGAAAGCCCGATTATGGGAGAGAGCTGCCAAGACGAGAAGTGCAAGGAAGAGTGTGAGAAATACTGAAAGAACAATGGGAGGTGGGGCAGAAAGGAGGGTGTCCCTGTGTAGAGGGGAACATTAACTCCTCGAGGAAGGGAACGGGGTAGAAGTTCAAAATGGAGCAGGGTGTGAGCATAGAGGGCCAAGTGAGAGAAGCCCATTTTTCAAGGCATTTATTCCATGGCTTCTCGTGCTTCACATTCCATGACTTTCTAATTGTTTAAACAATTATGATTAAGCTTAAATGAAATAATACAAGGGGAGCACCTGGAATAGCACCTAGCACGTCCTAAGTATTCAATGTGTGTCTGTTGTTGAGGTGACAGTAATGGTAGTGGCTGCTACCCTTGCTCAACACAGCCCCACCATTCTCTTCTGCATTATGCCCAGCCCCTCCCTCACTTAGCATACCTACCTGACCCCAATAGGCATTGCGTTTATAATCCCTGGTTTAGTCATCTCAAAGGTCCCATGCATTCATTCAACAAGTGTTTATAACTTGCATGCCAAATCTAGTGCTAGGCACTGGGGGTCCCAGGGAGAATGAGCCAAACATGTTCCTCTCCCTTGCCCTTTACACTGTTGTGCCCACTTACAGCCTGTTATTATTCTAAACCCTAAAAGAAAACATTTATCCCTACCCTGTCTTCCCACACTGCACCCCAGACTGCCTCCCGAGGCTCACCCCCCTGCCCTCCCACTAAATCTCCTTCTTACAGTCTGGCCTGCAGAGGTCCCCTGGCCATCTCTGCCAGATGGGAAGTAAATCTCTATTCCTGCTCCTATGGTGGAAAAACTCTCTGGATGTCAGTTCCCAGCACAGGAGCCACTTTTCTCCTGGTTTCCTTGGAGGATTTTAGCTGGGCCAAGTACCAACTGGGAAGAGAGTAGGGCAGAAGAATGGAGGGATCACTATCAGAGTGACCTTCAGCTGATACCCTTCCTTCTCTTCTGGTAAAAATAAATTTAAGCCAAGTCAAAACTGTTTTGAAATCACCATTTTATCTGCTAGAGCTTGCCAATCTCCTAAAGATTTTTTTAACCACATTATACTTCCTTTTCATCATTCCACACATATTTTTAGACCAAAAACTTCAAATGAAAGTATCATGATAAACCATCACAGGGCAAGGACCATGCTGTTCCTGGCTTCCACTAGGGGCTACAGAAGGCAGCAAGGTTTTGCACGCCAGAGGACATTTGGTAACATCTGGCAAGATTTTTGGTTGTCACGACTTAAAGGTTGATGCTATTGGCATCTAGCAGGTAGAGGCCAGGGATGTTGATCAACACCCTACAGAGCACATGACGGCCCCCACAATCAAGAGTTATCCAGCCCCAAATGTCAATAGCACCAAGGTTGAGAAACCCTGGGCTAGAGTAATATGGACTTAATATGATCTATTATCATCTATTAAAATGATCTGTTATGACCCATCCATACCTTAGTGGACAAACTAAACTCATGAAAAGTTTCCCTTCCTTCACACTTCCCAGAAAGGAGGGGAACAGCAGTGTGGTGACAAATCTCTTATCCCACCAAATGCCCCCACTTCTGTGACTCTCAAACTTCAACTGCCACTAAAAATACAAAAACAAGGGGCTGGCCTTGTGGCCTAGTGGTTAAGTTTGGTGTTCTCTGCTCCAGTGGCCTGGGTTCAGTTCCCAGGCGAGGAACTATGCCACTCGTCGGTGGCCATGCTATGGCAGCGACCCACATATGAAATAGAGGAAGATTGGCACAGATGTTAGCTTAGGGCGAATCTTCTCCAGCAAAAAAAAATACAAAAACAAGTAATTTGCATAAAATCATCCAGAAGAACATAGGAAGCTCATCCAAATTATACTAAATTTTAAAATACGATATCCTAACTCAAATCCTATTAAGTAAGCTGTATCTAGGACTTTACACAATGCTTTTTAGATTCTTCCTCAGACCACAAAACTGAGAGCCAGAAAGGCTGAATGAGTGAGTTGTCCAAGGTCATCCAGGCAGGAGTGGGCAACATCAGAGCTCAAAGGGAGGTCTCTTGTGAGGCCGCACTCCTTCCTTCGGTGTTGTAACACGTGTTGAGGTAGCTGACCAATTCATTATATGCCTCCATTCTTATTAAATTTTGAATACAAGCAGACATCTTAAATAAACACAATCCCCTGCAAAGTGTTAAATAAAAGGGGATGCCTCAAGCCTAAAAAGCTTCAGATAAGTGCTAACTTCTTGAGATTTTAACGACAGTTCTAAAAGCACACGCAGCATCGCAGCACATTTAAGCCCTGACCACCTCCAACCCACATCATCCATCTTACCTGACCAGTCTAGCTCTCCCAGCAGGGGGGCACTGCCAAGTGCATCCCACCCAGAAAGCTCTGCAGCGTGCAAATACTGGAAGATGAAACAAGTTCATTTCATGCTTAGAAGCTTGAGGACTGTGCATAGCAAAGCCCAGCGTATTTTGATATTAGGATATAATCTAAATAAATGTATTGCCTATTCCAGCTTCTGCAAGAGGTAATCAGTGCTCTCACAGCTTATTCTGAGAACAAAGGGATGTCTCACGGAAGAGAGGGAAAACAACATAATTGTTCATCATTCCTTGCTTGCTGAGTTTCAGCAAAAGGAAGCAATAACTATTATCTGGAGCATGAAAGCTCTTTCTCAGCATTAACTCCTTAACCCCTCTCAGACCACTGCCAGGAAGGCAGAGAGGTTCTGAGGATTACCACCATGCCAGGCACAGATCACCGAGGCACAGAAAACTCTCACAGTTTACATGAATTGGACAGAGAAACAGAAAAGAAATGAAAAGCCTCTTGTTTGCAGGCAGAGCAGTTCTTTCTACTCCCACTATAGGCAGGAGTCATGAAGAACAGAGAGGAAATTCCAGGGTGAGCCAAATGTTCCACTCCTCCCACCCCTGAATCCTTCAAGACATTGTGGGCTTGGCCCAAGGGATTGCCATCGATCAGTGCAATTCAACATAAAGAAGGCAGGCTTTGCCTCTGCGGGTGTGTTTTTCCAAGGTTTACCCCGTGTGCTGCAATGGCAAATATTGAACTGATCTTGCCCGTGGTGAGGATGTCCCTGAGTGCTGCTTCTGTGCTGGCTGGAACTCATCAGCCAGGACCACAGGAGCGGGGACACCCAGGAGGAGGAGAGGGCACAGCCGTCTTTGGGAAGCCCTCGCTCACATTCTGTAAGAGGGTCACTTCGCAGCAGATGTGCTGGCAGATATTATAATGTGGTGATAACACCTTCCTTGGTGGAATTTAAGTCTCTATTAAAAGCCGTGAATACATGATGAGCTCATTGGAGAAGATATTTGCCAATTAACAAGCAGCAGCTGTTGTTCTTTCTTTTTAAGGGCCCAACTGATTAAAATTGCATGCCTCATTTAAGCAAGAGTCTTGTGTACTTTACCTGGGAAAAAAAGGCTGAGCATCCTGTATTCAAACAAAGTACATGCTTTTGTGATTCATTAAAACACTTTCAAACTGAATGTAAATTATCAGCCCACAGAAGCATTGTCATTTGTTTTGTATAATGTGCATATTTTTAATTCTTCGTTTAGCATGATCTGCCTCCTTAAGAGAGTCTGCTTTGGATATTATAAATACAACAACAGCATAAGGGAGCAGCAGCCAGCCATAAGGAGGAGTGTACTTGATCCTTGCCACCCAGGAGAGCCCCCTGAGGCTGAGAGCGCGTCCTGGCTGCAGCACTTCTGCTGTGACTTGACAGGGAAACGCTCAGGAAGCCCCAACACACCAGCTCATCACCAGGAGCCGCGTCTCCATCACGCCCTCCTCCCTACAGGAAGTCTTGTCTAATGACCTATGGAAGCCAAGGGCTGCAGTGACAAATGCCCTGGGCCACTGGACCAGTTATCCATGGCTGCTTCTCGGAAGCCAGCTTGGCAAGGAGAAGGCACACCTGCCCACAGGCACAACCCTTGTCAGCGGAGAGACAGAGAGCTACGATGGCTTCTGCCTTCCTAGAGAGCTCCAAATGGCACAGTGACACCATGTCAGCTCCTGCCAGAAGGTCCAGAAGACCCCGCCTTGGCTTTGATGTGGTATTAAGAAGGACACCTGTGGCCACCTGAGGCTCACTGTGGTTGGTTCTGCATCCAGTTCACCCTTACCTTGCAGGTTCAGGTGGACTCTCCCCAGCCAGTGGGAAACAGATCCATCTCCCAACAGACATGCAAGTGAGCTGAGAAAATCAGTGTTTCTCCTCATCCCCTTCATTCTGCCTCTGGGCCTTTTCATTCACCATGGATGGATTCGTTAATCCATTTGTTAAGGATCTTCTACATGCTAGACATGACTGACCCATCACACCCTCCCGGCAGAAGCATACAATGTAAGTGGGAGGCAAAGAAGATAAACAAATACATAAACTAAGATTCAAGAAGTGTTATCAGAGTGGTGAGACACTGCTCTGTACCAGGGGGAGGAGCTAAAGTGCACGGCAGAGAAGTGGGGAAGCCACCTCAGGACTCACCCCTGAGCAGAGCTCTGCCCGCGGAGTAGGCCCAGCAGGCAGAGGAGTGGGAGGGTGGGGGGGTGCCCCAGAGGGAGCTGCTCCAGAGGGAAGCACCCCAGAGGGAAAGGGCAGCAGCGGAGGAGTGTAGGAGTGGCCTGCGGGTGGCTGGGGATGGCAGGAGGATAGGAGGGAGCTGAAAGGCGGCATGGGAGAGCATCCTGGCCCCGTGTTCCCTTAGAGAGTCTCTTTTCAAGTGACAGGCCCCCTTTGCCAACTTTTTCTCCTCCCCTCTCCTCCTCCATTCTCTATGCTTTCCCTCAACATGCACAGAACTCACTCACTTTCTGCTGGTCTGCCTTCTTTTCTTGCCCCTAAAAAGCGCAGGGGCTCAATATCTTCTATATGAAAGCAAATGCTTTCAAAGTCTCCAGATGAAAGCACAAGCCCTCTTTCCTGACCTGCATCTCCATAATTGACCATTGCACTTCAAAGTCTCCTCTGAAATTATATTTTTTCACGGCTAGCTGAGCACCATTTGGGAATGTATACAGCATCACCACTCTCAGCTTTAACTAAATTCTTGTTTGCTAAACTAAGATCCAATCCCCTAATGCCTTGTTTGCAACTGAAAATATTATAGGCTAACTCAGAATCTAAATTATCTTTAATCCACACAAAAATTTCCATGATTAAGTGCCTAAAAGACACAATTGAAAGCCACAGAAAAAATATGTATGTACACACAAGCCAAATGCTACATTGAGTAAAACTTTAAAATAACTTTTCACTCATAAGAGGAAGATTTCCTTCATGCAACTGAAAGAAGGTTTGTCTGTGTTTTCAGTGCGTGCCAAGAAGGACATTTCTGGCCATTTTCATCTTAACAACATTCTGGTTCAAAGATGGCACTGAATACACACACATCTTTATTTTTTTTATTTTTATTTATTTACTTATTTTTGCGAGGAAGATCAGCCCTGTGCTAACATCTGCCAATCCTCCTCTTTTTGCTGAGGAAGACTGGCCCTGGACTAACATCCGTGCCCATCTTCCTCCACTTTATATGGGACGCCGCCACAGCATGGCCTGACAAGCGCTATGTCAGTGCGCGCCCAGGATCCAAACCGGCGAACGCCCGGCAGCTGCAGCGGAGCGCGCGCACTTAACTGCTTGCCCCACCGGACCGGCCCCCACACACATCTTTAAAACGTTTCAAGATACCGATCACAGAAAATATTTGCACCCTTCAATCTGACCTGGGAAAAGAACGCACTGGTCAGAGGCGCCATGGCCAGCCTCTCGCCCCCACGTCTGTGTGGGGCTGTCCCTCCCCGCGTCTGTGAATGCAAGTGGCACCGTTCATTCTTCCTCACTCGCAGCACCCCCAGGAACAGATTTATGGGTGAAGACGCCTAAGCTGAAGCTGTCCAACAGGGACAAACGCCGAGTAAACCTCGTCACCTGAGGACCCACAACAGGCAGCGGTTTCTCCGCGTGGGAACGCTCGCTCAGCCCGCACCCCTCTGGGCCACTTCCTAAGAAAGGTGACTCCACCCTTTTGTTCCAAATGCACACTCCCAGGGCAGTGCTGGCACAGAAACTGCTCTCTCCATTTATTGAAGCACAATTAGACTTCCCTTATGCTATGGCCAGGCCCAGCCAGTAAATAATATTATCACAGTGTTTAAAAATGGGATACTAATGTCTGCTTCCGGTCAGGCCGAGCAAAAGGCAGGATATTTTTACCTCTACATTGCTTGTCGTCTTCGTTTATCTTTAGATAAGTGAGTTTAGAGTGTGTGTGTACTCACTGGTCGTAGATACGGAGACCACTGGGCTGTACTCATAATCTCCAGTGGGGCTGGTGACCTTCAGCCGAAATCTATACAGTGTCCGTGGTTCCAGACCTTCCACAACATGCTTGGTTGCATATCCCCTGGAGAGGAGGAGACACACACGGTGACGACACCAGGTAATCTAATCAGCATTCTCTGATAGTTATTAGAAGAGCAGGTGGAAGTGAATTTTGAATGGTGTCTATTTCCAGTACAGATCTGATGCCAGTTGTTGTTAGTCTCCCACACTAGACTGTGAAAAATCACACGTGGCACCTCCATCCCACCCAGCACATGGCCGCTCTATTCCGCAGTGCCTAGTCTAGTGCTGACACGTAACTGGTGCGCAATTTCCTTCTTTGGAAAAATAATCACGTTAACCCATGATATTTGTCCTCAAATGACAAAGTTTCACATTTGAAAAATGAGATAGGCAGTCAAATAGTATATATGTGATTTCTGAGCCAGGTCTTTGAGAGCATAGGTGAGGCTGTCTAATTGATGGCCGCATACCTATGTCAGGCAAAATAATACTGCAGGGAAAGGACCAGAAGAAGTAAAATACATGATTGTTGTAGGCGATGAGCAACTTAGAGTGAGCTGGGGAGTCAGGCAGCTCACAAGAACAACTCCAAAACCTTGTGACACTGTTAACGTTCATCTAGGAAAATATCTGTGGGAAATAGCCACTGAACACTTGTGGAATAGAAAACTGATCAGAGGCTAGTGATAGAAATCTGCACGCCTCCAGAAGGAAGGAGGACTGAGTGTAACCAATTGGAGGCTGTAAAATGAGCACCAGGAAATGCAGTTAGGCAGTCTGTCTGCCTGCTCAGAAGACGCTAGGATCCAGTGAAGGTGCGGAGACCCTGTCCCTCTGCTTGTGGGGCAGCTGTCAGGGGCCTGGCTTTGACTTGGCATACTTTCTAAGATACCAGGTCTCCCGAAGTCAACAGAGTTGTATATATTTGTCAATATTGCCTAAAACCTAGTTTCCCTTTGCTGCCAAAACTCTTTATTGGCATCTAACTAAATTCCATGACCTCTTTTCAAATCCTATATCCAATTTTTTCTTTCCTTATACCTCAAAGCCTTGATTTTTGAGTGCTTGTGTGTGTGTCCCAGCTCGCTCTTCTTTCCTGCCTTGTTCCAACCCAGCCTTGTTCTCCTCCCTTCAGAACACTCTCCACAGCTCCTTGGACTCCAAGTGTACCATTGTCTTCTCCATCTTCTGTCTCTAATTTTTCTTTCATTCTCAGCAGACCTCTACAGAGGCCAGAATCATACTTTGGGATTCGCAACTAACTTTTCAAAGATGTTTGTGTGTAACCTAAATATTTATACATCAATTCCATTCCACAGACCTCAACACAAATATCTAGTTCCCATTACTTATAAGGTGCTGGGCCGGGCTAGGGATGCAGCCCAGGACCAGCTCAGACCTGGGATGAATCTGTCAGCAACGAGTTGACCCCACCTCCTGCTGATGGGTAGCAAGAAGAGGGAATCAAGGACGGTGAGGAATGACAGCTGAGTCAGGCTGATATGACAGTGCTGGAGTTATCATCAGTGCTGACAAAAGCTCCCTTGAAAATGTGGCTTTAGATCTGGGCCAGGTGGATGTGCTAACACCTCACCTGTCAATTAAACAGCCTCACCCACTCACTCCCAGACCCCATTGGAAAAGCAGTTTTTCCCCCGAAGAAGCAAGTACATGGCCAAGTGCGTGGCTAGCAAGCTAACCCAACACTTGCTCCAGAGGGAGGAGAATCCTTTGGGATAGTTGGAGAGAACCTGGAAGGTCTTCTAAGTTCCATCTCCCAAACTCACTCATCAGACAAGTAATTCCTCCACCGTGAGGAGTGAGGGAGGGGCAGAGAGGGCGCAGTAGAATGTCCTCAGTGGAGGGCTCTCTGATGTAAAGCGAGAAGTGGGCGAGCGACTTCCATAAAGACTTGGCCTAGGCAGAAAAGGCAAGGGAAAGAAGGACCCAGGCAGTCTGAGAAGCAGCATCAGAGTGGAACGACATGAAATACCCGGGGAATGGCTGGTCTAGGCTGTGAGCAGAGGGTGACAAAAGAGTCTGGTGATAGGGAGATCAGTGTTGGAGGAGCTCATCAAGAGGACATGACCGCCAATTGACCCTCCAGCTGGACCCTGGGCAATCGGAGGCTCCTCACCCCCTCCCCTGTCCTTGGAATGTACGCACCGCCTGCTATTCTCATGCTAGCAGCTGTTTCAAGGACGCAGCCTTGAGAGCATAAGGTGGCGTTGAGACTATCTGGACGGTGTACGTGACTGAACCCCGTTAAGGCCTCCATATAAACTTATAAGATTCTGGCAGTGGGTGCAGAGATCTACTCATCTACGCAAGACGAGCCTTGTAAGTTCCCTTGCTTATTAAACCTGCCACCTACCAACCTGGAGTGGCTGCCTCTTTCTTTAGTCTCTCCTTATCCTCCACTTATGGGGGCCAGTCTGCAAACCAACAACCGAACTGGACAAGTCTGGATGTGTGCTCCTGAGAGAGGGGTCTCAGATGAAACTGAGACCTAGAGAACCATATTTGAAAACTGGAAGAGATTTACAAAGACCCTTTTCCCTTTGTGTTTCCCTCCCTTTGTTGTTTATCCAAAATGTAAAATTTTAAGCTGAAATAAAGTCCTGAACACTCGGTGATCCCTTTTTTGCATCACAAGTTATTTTAGGCACCAAAATCTAAATGACTTCTCAGGTGTGGCTCTAACAGAGCCATGAAAAAGATAGGAAGCTAAGGCACTTCTGACCACTTGTCTGTGCTCTCCTGTTCTTAGCCGGTGGATTCAGCCTCCTGACTGATATCATCTTTACTTGAAGCACATGTCTCTTCACCTACAGAAGTCAAGTGTGGTACAGTATCAGTCAAGGTGGCCTCCAACAATCCCTCCCATCCTGCAGGTAGTCGTCAGTCTTCCAAGGAATTAGAGCCAAGTTCCTTTCCCCTCAAATAGGATGGGATGTGAAGTGATACTGTGCAGTTCTGGGCCTGGGCCTTAAGATGTCTGGAAGCTTCTGCTTTCACTCCCTTGGAAGCTAGCCACCATGTAAAGATGTTCAACTTCCCTGCTGGAGGGAGGACCCACCGGGTGAGAGAGAGTCACTGGAAGATGCCAGATGATGAAGGGAGATAAAGAAGTCCAGTCAGCCGCCAGCTGTCCCAGCCGCCCCAGCAGAGGCACTAGACATATGAGGGACACCACTGGGATCCTCTAGCCCCAGCTGCACGAGCCAAGACCATGTGGAGCAAAGACACACCATCCCCACCCTGCCCAAACTGTAGCAAACACATGATTGTTTTTTGCTTTACATCATCAAATTTAGGGGTAGTTTGTTATGCAGTTATAGATAGCCGATACATCCTGTATCAACAAAGAAGAAACTATAAGAAAGACAATTAAGAAATGATATCAACAGCATTAAGAAAAATATTTGAATCAAGAAACCAAGGAAACAGAGAAGTGTTAAGAATAGATATAAGTGCATTTACCATAAAAGTAAAAGGTCTAAAACCAAGATAAATACTCAGAAAAACTGTATGGGCTAAAAAAATAATAATAACTTTAAAAACTAAAATATATCAGCTTGGCATAAGTAGTCTTATAAGTGGGTGGATTTCACTGTTATGTGAGCATAGGTCCATATCTATGAATTCTTGAATCATAAAAACTTAACTCTCAGCAATTTGTGGCATCTGAGAAGATCTTTAGGAGCTCAACGAGAATATAATATCCGAGCATCAGTGGAATTCAATGCCAGGTGTCGAAGACTTAACATAGTTTTAGATCAAAATAAAACCAAAAGTGCCCCCAATAAAATCCAGTATTGCTAAATATCATAAGGTCACCCTGAAGCAAACAGTACCTTCATAACCCCTGGAAAGAAAAATTACAGAACTGTTCTAGGAAACAGATGTTACTGAGCACATTTACGGGAGGATGGAGGCTCTCACATGTCAATGGAGATGGCCTCAAGGAGAGAGCAAAAGACATAGCAGGGGCCCCGGGACACAAAGCCCATTGGGGTACTCCACGGTGATTACAGCACAGACCCAGGGATGACACGATGACTGCAGCACAGACACGGGACGACTAACAGACGCAGTTCATCAAACCTGTGCAGAAGCACTTCACACGGCCCAGGCACAGTAGCTTAAAGAATGAAACCATCTTAGAACGATTTCCATAGCAGAGGAAAATAAACAAAAGTATAAAGCATATCTTTACTTTTGTTATCAGTCAACAAGCAAATATTTGATGCAAGTGCTGAGCAAACATGAAACAAACTAAAGATTGGAATGCCCAAGGACTCAATTACCAGACTTTCATTTTCTCTCTCCGCTCCCACCCTCAGCATTCCAATCTAGCCTCACGCTGATGACTCTGAAGTTCCTTCCTCCAGCCCAGATCTCTCCCCTGGCCTGGTCTTCCCCAACTGCCTCCTTGATGGATCTTCTTGGATGTCTGAGAGTCCCAAACCGAGCTTCTGCTCCACCTGCAGTCTTCCTCATCTCTTTATTCAAGTTACTGAGGCCAAAAACCCTGGTGCCAGCTGTGGAAGACTGGATTATTGTTCTCAAATATTTAGTGCCCTCCCAAAGATTCTACACCCTGACTGGACTCAGACATGGCCCTCTGACTTGCTTTGAGCAATGAAGCATAAGCAGAGGTGAAGTGTGTCATTCTGAGTCGAAGCTGCAAGAAACGGTGTGCCAGGCTCTCTCCCTGTGCTGCCACAATGACTGACAATGTTCAGACAGAGGCTGCCCTATCAGCCTGGGCCATGGGGAAGACAGGTGGGATGGAGCTGTGGCCGACACACAATGGGTACTTTGGGAGATGAACTCCTGCTGTCGTAAGCCACTGAGATGCTGAGGTTGATGCTTAATGCAGCATAATCTGACCTCTCCTAGAGGTAGATATACAAATATAGATAGACAGATCGATGGATGGATGGATGGATGGATGGATGCATCGAACCATCCATCCATCCATCCATCCATCCATCCATCCATCCATCCATCTATGGGAGATCAATCGATCTCCCTTGACTTTCCTCTTTCTCTCACATCCCATATCTGGTCCACCAGCAAATTTTTCAAATTTTTCTTTAAAACATATCCTGAATTCAACCACTGCTCACACTGTTCTGTTATCTCCCACCTAAATTATTGCAAAAGCTTCCTAATTAGTCCTCCCTGCTGCCTGCTGCCTTGCCTTCCCATGGCCTGTTCTCAACTCAGCAGCCAGAGTGATACTCCTAAAGCATAAGCCAAATCAAGCCACCCTTCAGCTCAACAGTCTCCAATGGCTTTCCCACCTCTCTTGGAGTAAAAGCCAAAGTCCTCTCGCTAGCCCACAAGACCCTAGAGGTTACCTCCCATTGCCCCACTGACCTCATCCCCTACTACTCTCCCCATGCACTCCACTCCTCAATGTGCCTGGTACGCTCCAGGCTCTTTCCCACCTCAAGGCTCTTTCACTTGCTATTTCTTCTGCCTAGAATGTTCTTCCAGATACTCACAAGGCTCCAGACATCCCTCACTTGCTTCTTTACTCAAACGTTACCTCCTCAGTGAAGCCCTCCTCACTTCCACCCCAGGCCCTGACTTTTCCTAGGCTTTTTCTCCTTGGAATTTATCACCATCTGACATACTCTGTGTTTTTACTTACATATCTTATTGATTGTTTGTCTTCCTCAACATGAGAGAGGAGTTTTGGTCTGTCTGTCCAGGGTCATATCCCCAGCATGCAGAACAATGTCTGGCACATGGTAGGCACCCATTAACACATGATGACTGAATAAATGAAATGCATGATATGGGCACCAATCATCACAGGAATTTAGAGGGGGTAGACAAAAGGATGGTAAAGGGAGCTTCTCAGTCGAGGCAGAATCTGACTGGGGTGGAAGAAAGGATGAGGGTAGAGGGAAATTTGTCTTCACAGGGAAGACAGCTACACACACATGCAGGAAAAGTCAGGGCGTATTCAAAGGACAGGAAGCAGATCTCATTGGAGGCTTCATGCTCAGAAATCAGAGGCAGCAGGAAAGGCAGGCTGTGGGCAAACTGTGAAGGGCATCAAATGTCAGCCTAAGGAATCGGACCTTCATCCTTCAAGCAATGGAGACCCACTGATGACAATTTGACAAAAGGAAGACTAAAAAGAAAATTAACCCAGCAATATAGAATGAGGGATAGAGGGCAACAAAAGAGGGATAAGGCCAATTCATTCAATCAGCAAATACGCTGGACAGTTGTAGGACCTGGGGCTACAGCAACGAACTAGTCAGAAAACGGAGCGTGCGTCCCAGTAGGGGAAATGCCACAGGCTAAAGAAGAAAAGCCTAGAAGGGATCTGCAGAGGGAGAACACACAAAACTAGGTAACCGGCCATGAGAAGGAGAGCCCAAGTCTCAGATGACACCACTGACTCTGGCTACTGGCTGACACGCACAGAAACTGACAAGTCAGGAAGAAGTCCTTAGATCCACAATCCCAAGGTCAGATATTCCAGATAATCGCTTTTTTAGAGAAAACCATTTGCTAGTTTTAAGGATACCTAGAGAAGGTGATACAACGGAGCAAATGAGGTCAAGACTAATACAGTCTAATTCTGCCACCTAGTGTCATGATTTGTGCTAACTCTCCGAGGGAACACAAGCGTTTCGCAGCTGCACTTAGAGCTGGGGGTGTGAAGGCCTCACTGCAGCTCCACCAGCCCCGGCAGGCATCCAAGTGCATTCCCCCTCCCCACAGCACTCAGAGCTCAGGGGAAATGCAAACTACACACACAGATGTGTCGGGCTGGAGGCCACTGCACAGGGCTGCAGTCTCTCTAGGTTAGGCTGTCTACCTGGCCATCCAGCAAAGGCGAAAAGCAAAGAGGAAGGAAAGGAGCATCCAGGACAGCCCCAGCTAACGTGCAGCTTGTGGTACAAGGGAAATGGGGGGGAAGAAATGATGTCTTTTTCCTTTTACATAGAAATATTTATAATATCGTAATTCATGCTTTTAGACGGGAACTACCCAACAGAGACTACCACACATGACAGGATGAAAATGACATTTGTGAGTAGTCAGGCCAGGAATTATTCTCATGTGCTTACTACATTTCAGATAAATGCATATATTTTTTTAGGTACAGAGAATTGTTCCTCGACTCAGGGACAGCATCATTCAGGTGACAGCTGAAGCCTTCATATACACCCCCACATCAGCACACTTATCACAATGCCACCTCGAGAAACGCCCAGGAAAGTGCTGGAACTCTTCTGTATCTTGACTACATCAATGCCAATACCCTGGCTGTAACACTGCACTACAGTTTTCCATGTTCCCAGTGGGGAAAATGAGTGAAAGGTACGTGGGATCTCTCTGTATTACTTCTTACAACTAGATATGAATCTATAACTATCTCAAAATTTAAAGTTTAGTTAAAAGCCATATTTGTATCTCATTTTTGGTATTCCTGAAACATAGAAATAGAGTCATTTTGCAAGTGGTAAAGCTGTCAAAGGGAAGAAACAAGTCAGAGTTGAAATGAAGACAGAAAAAATGCCTCTTGATTACTCCTGTTGCATTCATTTTTTATTCATTCGACAAATATCCTGAGGGCCTGCTATACGCCAACAGTGTCTAGGAACTGGGCGTAGTGTTCAGCAAAGCAGGAATCTTATCTGCCTCTCAATGAGTTTACATACCAGAGGGGAGACAGAAAAGGAACAAGTAAACAGGTAAAATAACTCCAGCAGAGCTAAATGTTAGGAGGCACATGAAGCGAGGTCATGACAGAAAGGATGGCTGGGAGGAAGGAGGCTACTCAGATGGCCTTTTGAGGAGGGGATATTTGGTCTGACGTTTGCATGGTGTGAAGGAACCAGCCATATAAAAACAGAAGGAAACGCATTCAAGGGAAAGGCAACAAGAAAGCCCTGCCGTGGGAACCAGCGTGGCCTGGTGGAGGCTGAGAGAGACGCAGGGCAGTTGGACAGAGAGTTAACAAGGGAACAGTGGTGTGGCATGAGGTCGATCAGTTGTCCAGGCTAGACATGCGGGGCCCAGCCCACATCTGTGAACAGAACAGCCCAAAGGGACTCTCACCTAATTTCATCAAACTCTCTTTTGATTCTGTCTCTACACTTTGGATTTTAAAAATATACCATTAGACTATTTCAGAAGTCTAAGATGCTCTCAAAGCTATGGGAGGTTTAATTTCAAAGTTACTGCTAATACTTATTTTCAAAAATTATAATTCATAAAGAGCATGAATGCAAAGGATGCTGACTCATTCTTTTCTTTAACTTCAAAACCAGTCTTATTAGAGACAATAGAAACCATTCTAGCTAAAGGAAATCAATTCAAAATGTTAAGGAATTCAACATTGCACCTACGTATAAATGATACCATAAGTGTGCATTTTGGGGTCTTCCTCTTCAACTGAGAACCTGAACCACTGCTCCTGAGGGCCCTGCCGTTTCGCTTGCTTCTCCAGGTCCCAGTACAATTCAATGCTGTGATGAGTCACTTTGCCCACAACAGGTGGGTGAGGCTTTGAGGATGGTGTGATTTCTGAAAAAGAATGACACAGGATTTCAGGACTCCATTTCCACAAGGAGGAGAGATCAGCTGAATGCATTATAGCTGCTCGGGGATCAAATCTGTCCTCCTACACATCAGGCATATGTGTAAGTATACCCCCCCGCCCCCCCC